TGTGTTGTTCAGCCTCCATGTATTATAGGACTTTCTTTGGTGGCTTTTGGTGTTGTATTCTAATTTTATTCCCTTGTGGTCTGAGAGGATGCAAGGTATAACTTCAATGTTTCTGAATTCGGACAGTTTTGCTTTGTGACCTAAAATGTGGTCTGTTTTGAAAAATGTTCCATGTGCTGCTGAGAAAAACGTGTATTCTGATGCTGGTGGGTGAAATATTCGGTAGATGTCTGTTAAATCTAGTTGATCTCTACAGTTGTTTAGATCTGCGTTTTTTCTGCTGAGTTTTTGCTTAGTTGATCTATCTACTGGGGAAAGTGATGTGTTAGAGTCCCCAATGATTAATGTCTTTGGATCTATGTGAGATTTGAGGGAAAGTAGTGTTTCTTGAATAAATTTGAGTGCTCTGTTATTTGACGAATAGATACTTAGAATTGTAATATCCTCCTGAAGGAGAGACCCTTTAATTAGTATGTAGCAACCTTCTTTATCTCTTCTCACTAATTTTAATTTGAAGTCTATTTTATCTGATATTAGGATTGCAACTCCTGCCTGTTTATGGGGGCCATTTGCTTGGTAGATTTTGTTTCAGCCTTTCACTTTCAAAATGTGTTTGTTTTTATGGGCAGGGTGTGACTCCTGAAGGCAGCAGTTAGAAGGATCTTGCTTTTTTAATCCAACTAGACAGTCTATGTCTTTTAATTGGAGAGTTAAGTCCCTTAATGATGAGAGATAGGAGTGAGAGGTATTTGGGAGTTCCTGCCATTTTATCACCTTCTTTGGGGCTGTGGCAACTGGGTTCTTCCTATGGTTCTTGGATTCTCAGTTTGCGTGTGGTTTCTTGGCCTTTATTGTGGTCTTGTTAGTTTTCTATGTGTAGGACATCTTTAAATATCCTTTGTAGGGCTGGTTTGGTGGAAAATATTGTTTCAGTTTTTCTCTGCTATGGAAGGTTTTTATTTGACCTGCTGTTATGATGGAGAGTTTAGCTGGGTACAGTATTCTTGGTTGATAGTTGTTTTATCTTTAGGGCATGGCATACATCATTCCAGACTCTTCTTGCTTTAATTGTCTCTGCTGAGAAATCTCAAATGATTCTAATTTGTTTCCCTTTATAGGCGATTGATCTTTTTTCCTTGACAGCTTTAAGGATCTTTTCTTTTGTCTGAATTGATCCTGTGCAGATTATAATGTGATGGTGGGATGTCCTGTTCTGGTCTGGTCTATTTGGGGTTCTAAAAGCCTCTTGTGTCTGAATAGGCCTATCTTTTTGCATGTTTGAGAAGTTCTCTGCTAGGATCCTGTTAAAGAAATTTTCTAGACCATTAACTTCTGTCTCTAGGTGCTCCTCTACATCCATTATCCTCAGATTAAGCCTGCTGATGGTGTCTTCCAAATGTTGACTAGATCTATCATTTTTCTTGGATTTGTCTTGGATAGTTGTATGTACTTTCTCTATAATATGTAGTCTGTCTTCAATCCCTGATATTCGATCTTCTGCATGGTCTAACCTACTGTCAAGACATTCTACTTTGTTCTTTATTTCTTTTCCTTCTAATTGGTCGGCTTCGATGGCTTCAAATTCTTTGTTGGAGCTTTGTTTTAGACCTTGTATGAACTTCTTTACTTCCTTAATTTGGTGTTCAGTGTTTATTTTCAAATCACTTAGTTGATTAGTTATGCTTTCCTTGGACTCCCATTCCTTCTGTTGGGTTCCATTCAGCATTCCCTTTGTGGTCTCCCTGAATTTTTTCAGCTCTCTGTTTATGGATTCCATGAATGCCTCTATTGATCTTTGTCTATTCTATATAGTTTTTTTTTTTTAAAAAAACTATTACCTTTAAGTAGTTGTATAAAGGAGTTGCCATTTTACAGAGCTATTTATAAATACAGTGCAGTCTTGATCCGTGTCACCCCTTTCAATCCTGTTATTTTAAGTTTACCACCTTAATGAATCATTATTAATCAGCATTCCAGAGGGAGGGAGAGGCTGGCCACCCTTTATTGCTAGATAATGAAGTACAGTTAAGGAACCATGTGGCTAGTAGAAGACACTTAAGAAAAAAACAATTTCCAGAGCAAAGATGAGATCCGTGAGTGGCCCCCACAGTGCTCCCATGCAGTGCAGTAATTGTGAATGTTCATGCTGAAACCACACGTAAGCATTGGAATAAAGGAAAAAAAGTCTTTCCATTCTATTCTGTGGAGTAAATAAACAAAAATAAGGGTAATAAAAGAAATCAGGTACATACATAAGGTCTCCAGACACACAGCCAGCGATCTGCACATTAAATAAATATGAAATTAAATCAGTATTGTGGTAAACTGGGCATACAGTTGGGGAAATACTTCAGCTTGTGCTTTATTAAATTAGACTAAATAGTATCTAAAATTTCTAATTTGACTGTACTGGTGGTCATATTATGCATTCTTACATTTACAAAATGATAAATAAAATATTCCTGCCTTCTTTCAGTTCATTTGTACCTGCAGAAATTAGGAGACGCTTTCATGTTGCTCTTTAATATTGAACATCAGAACTTAGTGTTGGCACTTAGGCCCCTTTTGTCTTTGAGAATGCATCATGTTTCTGTTAATCTCTCTATTTATTAGCTGTCACCGTTGGCACTAAACATATCAAATCGACCTCAAATTTCCTGGTTTATAATTACTTTTCTCACCAAACAGAGATGTTGGTAGCTCTATACTTGTAAGAATGTATTCAGAACCTTATATTCTGTTAAATCAGAGAATTGCATGTATCAGAATAGAATTCTCCAAATAGTAAATGCAATTCTTTCATACCTAGGCTCATGTCAACATTTCCTTTAGTTCAATCAATAGGTTGACCAAGCCAGTCCATGGGAACTCTTTTAAATAACTCTGTCAGCTCATATCCATAAGTACAAAGTTAGATAGCTGTGCTGACGGAAGCCTATTTTTTTTAACTGTATTTAGTATTTACTTCAGGAATCCATTGGTATGGAAAGCTTTAGTAACTGATGATTTCTGATGATAAGTTGGATCCCCTTGTCCACTTCGTGGATCCTTCAGTGTGGTTCCTTCATCTGGAGTCTTGTGAAGACAGACTCCTGAAGTCCACCCCAGGGTTTCAGGATAGGGCTGAGCTGGGAACTGGAGATCTATTCCCAGTTGATGTCGCTGTTCCAGGAGGCACCCTTTGAGGACACTGGTTGAAGGGTAGGTTTTGCTTGAGGACCAAGAGAGGCAACTAGAGTGCTAAGAACATCCTTCCTGGTCCACCCCTGGAAGTTGTAACTCCTGATTGCTTGTCTTGTGACTTCTATGCTGTTCTCATGTGCTTGCCTTGCCTCCTTGGAATACACATTATCTGTACCACGGATTTCAGGGACAAGTCTACATGGTAGCCAGTGCAGTTGTTCTTAAGGATCTCCAGCATCACATGTCCCTAAAAGGGCTCTCTGTGCCTCATCCATAGCAACCTAATAGTCCTCATTTATCTGATTTCATCATTTCAAGCTAGGATTTGATGCTACAAATCACAGGTTATAAACTAGAAAATGTTTTTTGTCAGCGGCCAGATACCATGAGTGAGCAAAGCTCTGTTAGTGTGGGGAATTTTTAACTTTCAAAAGCTTAGGATCATAAGGAGATAATTTTCCTAGTTTTCCATCTGCCACTTCCCTAGTCTCTTCTGCTAACAGAATCTTAATTCTTTTTAAGAAGTGAAAGCTTCAAAGACTTTAAGGAAGTTTGGGGCTAAAAGTAGTAACTCAGGAAAGGAAGCTGGTCCTGGCAATCTCTAGAAAGATTTCTAGAAGCCAGACTTCTCTAGTTCATGGTGAAAGTGTCTATCTAGGTGTGGGAGGTAGGAGATATGTACATTGGAAGTTTTGCAGGGCCTTGGAAAGCAGAGATTAAGAAAATTACTAGAAGACACAGCAGGATCTGTGGAGAATCACTTTTGTTTTACTTTTTGCTGCTCCTAGGGATTGAACTCAGGGCCTGGGCTCTGTCCCTGAGCCTCTCTGTGCTCAAGCTAGTGCTCTACAACTTGAGCCATAGCGCCACATCCAGCTTTTTCTGAGTAGCTTATTGGAGATAAACTTTCCTGCCCAGACTGGCTTTGAACCATGATCCTCAGATCTCAGCCTCCTGTGTAGGTAGGATTACAGGTATGAGCTTCTGGCACCTGGCAAGAATCATTTAGTTTTTAAAGAGAAGGGATCATTAGAGACAGAACAATTAGAGAGTAGATTTTAGTAATGCTGCAGAAATAAAGTTTGACAGGAAGAACATGAGTAGTCCAGAAACTAAATAAACAGTTAGCTTTGGCAAGGACATATTTGAATCCCAGTTTAGAGGCAAGAAAGAATGCTTAGCCCAAACAGACTTCAGATACAACTAGGAAGGGAATATAGACAATCCTAACAATGCCTGGCAAGACTTCTTCCTAGTCTACTATAGAGCTGGGTATGTGGTGAAGATGGCAGAAGGTAGAAATGATTTCAACATATGGTCTTGTAATAATGCAACTCAGTTTCCCAGAGATCTGCAGCCTGAATATGAAGGGCTCCTAGTGTTTCTTACATACTGTCAAGTCTCCTGTGACCAGTAGAGCAAGTCCGATTGTCTCCCATTCTGTGCTCATGCCTTAGATCTGTGTGGAGGACAGCAATGTAAGTCACAGCCAGCTGCTGCAAGTTCCTCGGCTTCACAAAGGGAAAGAAAGAAATTGTCCAGAGGAAGTAAGCATATCTCAAGTTAGATCATTTCTGTTGAACATAACTGTGGAGAACTCCCTGGATGTTTTAAGCGGGACTTGCTTTGGGGAGATCTATGTGCAGTAGAGAACCTGACAGCAGAGTTGTGTTTGTTTCTAGAATGTTCTTTGTTGTAAAAAACACAACAAAAAACTACATGCTTCTAGAAGTAGGCAATTCAGCAGGATGTGGGGGGAGGGAAGCTGTGGGGTTGTACAAGTGAAACCATTAGAATGTGTGTGTCTTCTTGCCCAGGACCATGAAACCTCCTTCCCCAGGGCACTCTCAGCTCAAAGGCTGTCTCCTCGGTGGTGCTTCCTAGATGGTGAGTATTTCTGGACAACCCCCAGGGATGGGGTTAGAGAGGCAACAGGGCAAGCTGTGGACTGATCTACTTTGATTGTCCCCAAGATTATTTAAATGCCTTCAGATGATGCGACGCCCTTGGACTTGGCCTGTCAATGAACATGTATGGGCTTGGCTGATGGCGTATACCTCTATGAGGTCATTTCCCTCCACGCATGCCAGTTAACTGGCTGAACTCAGCATCCAGCTCTCTGAAGCTGACAGTTTTCTTGTGATCATACTCCTTTTCTTAAAACGGTTGCGTCCCTCCCTTAAATCAGTGCAGGCCATTTGTTAGCTTCCATAAACCCCAGATGGGTATACATTTCACCATTCTTTGCAGGCCATGGAATGTTCCTATTATTTTTTGTGAGAACCTTGTTTCACGCTAGTGCAAAACTCTGAGGAGGAAGGCTAAAAAACTTCAAGGGCCTTCAAGTCTGCTCTGCTAAGCATGACATACTGTATGCATTAATGGGGTCACTTAATGAGCCTGCGTATCTTCTCAAGCATTTCTCATTCCCCCAGATCAGCTGGATCTCAATTTTCTATCCAATTATCTACACTGCACAACATTTTTATTTCTATACATTCTCACTTATATAGTACCCAATGTGTCTATCACTAGTTTCTGTTGTCTGTGTGGAGACAAGGTTTATAGCTGTAGGCATGCTTTTGTCTGTGTGTGCACTTGAGAGGGCATACATGACATTAAGGGTTCCACTACATGCATGACTGGCAAACAGGTACACAGAAGAGCACATGTGTCCAAATGAAATCTGCCCACATAAATCAGAATACCGGCTTCCATTACCAGCTCCCTGAAGATTTTACTCCATCTCCTGTAGGCTATAGCAATAAGAAGCATTTTCCATTTGTGAAGTCACAGGAGAACAACTTATGTTTTAGGAAATTGTAGAAATATTAATAAATGCTATATTCCATGTTCAAGCTTAGATAAAACCACTATGGTGACTAGTCTCCAACCTGAAGCCATATAGAGTCAGATTTTTCATGTGTGCTGGTAACTAGGGCTTGAATTCAGGGCCTGGCTTTTTTATTCAAGATTCTACCACTTGAGCTATGCCTTTACTTCCAGTTTTTGAGTGGTTAATTGGGCTGGCTTTGAACTACAATCATCTGATTTTATTCTCCTGAATAGCTAGTAATACAGGCATGAGCCACTGGCAGCAAGCTTTGTAAATTCTTCAGAGACAACTTTGATTGTAGTTTTCCCTTTCCCTCCCTTCCTACTTTTTCCCTTTCTCCTTCCCTTCCTCCCTGCCTCACAATGTGAGATTCTCACAATGTGACACAAGTTGCTTTCAAATTCTTCTTGCCTTGGTCTCCTAAATACTGGGATTATAGCCAGGCAGTACTGTATGGCATTTAGTTTTATGTTTTAAGACCTTGAATGACTTGTTTTTAGATCAGTTTCCTTCGACTAAAGCCTACTCTTTTAAAATTTTTGTGATTTGGGGCTGAGCATGGTAAGTCCCACCCGTATCCCCAGCACTTTGGGAGGTACTGGCAGTAGGACTGTAGCTATTGAAGTCCTATCTTACAAAGCTGTACAGGTGTATTTCATTACCTGAGAAACAGAGGTAGGAGGATGCCAGTCTATCCTGGCTCAGCAAAGTTAGTATGAGACTGTCTGACAAACAGGCAACCAGAGGCCTTGAGTTTGATTTTCAGTAAAGCTTTCACACCAAATCACATATGCATGCACACATGCATGTGTGCACGTATGCACACACACACACACACACATATGTGATTTTTTTGAAAGTTTTTGCATTTTGAGTTTTCCACTTGGATGCTTTTTATTTCTTTGTAAAAATCTGTTTAATATTTAGACTCTGGAGAAACTTAAGTGAGGAGGAATATTATTCTTTTTAATATTAAAAGTAATCAAACTTTCTAGACATCCCAAATTCTTACTTTATAATTTTTTTCTTTCAAACCACAAATGCTGCCCAAATCCTTCTAGGGAACGTTTAAATAATAATTACTGCTTTGTTTTTGTGGCCTCCTTGAGGAATACATCCTGTGAGGCCAGATGTGGTCCCTGGCCCAAGTCCTGAGCCTGGAACTTTCAAGCTGTTTTTCAAAGTGAGAGTCAGTTCTCTGGAAGTCCATCTAAGGACAGATTTTTTTTTTAAAGCTTTATTTACTTAAACTTGTTGAGTCCTAGTTCTGCTGAAGAGCCTGAGCTAATCGGTGGAGCCATACAAGAATAAATGAAAGAGAAATATCTAAGAGGCAAGTCTTCTAGTTTCATAGTTACTTATGAAGATGGTCTACACAAGACATTTAGAGAAAATGCAAATGTGAACAGAGATAGGGGAATTCCATTCTTTCCGGAGTAGACACTGCAAAAGTGTCTCCTAGAATTGGGAGCATTTGAGTTGGTCCTGAAAACACAAGTAAGACATCAGTTGCAGGTGTGATGGAGAAGAGCTTCCTCATCACTGGAGTTACAGTGGGTGAGGTATGGGAATGCTGTTTTTCTTAGTAGATTTAGACCTGCCATGTAAAACTCTTCATGGGTATAGTGGAAGGTCAAACTATAAAGCTGGTGACAGGTTACGAATGACTGAATGCCATATGCATCTTTATTTTTCCTTTAGCAACTTCAGCTGACCGCTTTTATCGGATAGATAGATCTCAGGTAAGTTTATTTCTGTCTGATTATGGAAGTGAAAAATAATTCACAAGCCAGTGTACTGTACTAGTAGTTAATCTCATACATTGTTTTTTTTTTTTTTTCCTGCTCATGGGCTTGAACTCTGGGCCTGGGCACTGTCCCTGAGCTCTTCAGCTCAAGACAAGCACTCTACCACTTGAGCCACAGTGGCACTTCTGGTTTTCTAGTGGTTAATTAGAGATAAGAGTTTCTTGGTCTTTCCTGCCTGGACTGGCTTTGAACCATAATCCTTAGATCTCAGCCTCCTAAGTAGCTAGGATTACAGCTGTGAGCCACTGGTGCCTGCTCTCATATGTTTTTTTCTAATAGAAACATTTATTCACTTAGAGATTTAGGAATGGCATTTCTAATTGAATCCACAAACCTTTACTGTCTTCATGTATTTCGTGATTTATGGACTCAGTGATACAGCTTAGCTTGGCAAATGAGCCCAGACAGTAATTTGGCTGGTAGATACTGTCACTAGCTGGCTGTCCAAATTGTCATTCACAGGAGTACTTTGATTCCAGCCAGCCAAAGTTTATACTCTTTAAGTGTATTTCTTACTAGCTAGTTTGAGATCCCAAGTGTTTTAAACAGGCTACTTCATTTCAGTTCACCAAGCCTCAGAGTTCAATAAAGAAGGGGAAAATATGCTTTTGCCTAAGGTTAACAAGTCCTCCATTTAGAGGAAAACAAAGTAAGTATAGGACTGAGCCCATGGTTGTCAACCATGTCCCTTCGCTTCAGTCTTGGGGGTAGAAGTCCAAGTTTTCATATGCCATGCTTATGTAAGTGGCATGGGAGGGGTGAGATTTAGAAAGAAATAAAGGCAAAAATATTTCTGAGTATACCTCATAAAATCCTGGTCAGTTAGGAGTCAGAGATTCATCCCTCCCCCTTCTCCCCTTGGGACAGTTTTGCTACAGTAGTGTTTGAGGAAGGAAGGAACATCAACTGGCAGGCTTCCCAGGAAATACAGTATGGCAGAATCTTGTTCTTCTATGAGCTCAAGAATGCTCTGTTTCGTTCTCTGGGTGATGATTTGAGCGTCCTATCAGTCATCTGAAAAACTTATATTTCTTCCTGTAGGAACATTTGCACTTTGTGATGGAGATTTCCCAAGATGAGATTTTTATTCTCGACCCAGATATGGTAGTGTCGCAGCAGGCGGGGACACCGCCCGGCATGCCGGATCTGGTGGTGGAGCAGGCCTCGGGGTGAGTGTGTGTCTCCTTGGTCGATGACCTCCATTCTGATTTGCCTTTGGATCTGACATGGAATCATTTGGAAATACCTGTGTATCTTTAGAGCAAGGAAGCAGCCATTGATTGTGTCATGAGACTGTCTTCATTTCCAGTCAGATCTTGTATGGCTTTTGAGCCTTCTTCTCCCATTACATCTCCATTTCCCACCAGGCCTAGAAAATCCTACAACTTGCATTTGTGTATGTGTCTTCATTTTATTTGCTCTGTTACCCAAACAAAAAGTTGATACTGGTGATTTCGCAGTTATTCCCTTATTTTTCCTTTGGGTCCTTTCTGCTCTGTTCAGGCTGCTTGCACATATCTATTATGTAGAAATAACCAAGACATATCAAGGACTTACAGAAAGTCAAATGCTATGAGACAGGCACTCAGAGTGCTCTGTGCTTTTTTCCTCATCTGTGAAATAATTATTATTATATAAATAATAATAATTATTATAATCATAATAATAACCGCCCAGAATTACTTGATAAGTAAATGAATTGATACAGTAAAACAAAAGTTTCTAGCATTCAGTAGATGCTCATTATATATTATGTTCTAAAAACCCTCCTTCTCCTCTTCCTCCTCCTTTTTCTCTTCCTTATCATTGTCAACAATAACCCTACACATTTGTTTTTATTATTATTTGGAATCTATAGATCAGAAAATTGAAGCTTCAGAGGTTATGCTATTGCCTCATATGGCAAGAAAAGAGGTAGTTGCCAGAACCCATGCATTTGCCCACCCCTTTGGGCCCACCAAAATGTTGTTAAGGTTTCTAGGTTATTTAAAAAATATTTTGTAATTAAGGATATTTATTTGAATATTACTGTGTACCGAATACAAGTGTAAAACACTTGGGGCAATAATAATATTCAGTGTACAACAGATTGGCGTCTCTGTGTTTGTGAGACCTGATGGATTTCAGTAGTGTGTCAGTATATGGGCATTGAAAGCTGATTTCATGATTGCTCTGGGAAATCCACACAGGTGCTCAAGTAGCAGACACAAATGACATTCTCACATGCTATGAAAAGAAATCAAGGAACCAGTATCCATGAATATCCCTCCTCTTTTAAATTCCTTTTGTGTGTATTTTTGCCCATGAAACTATTCTGCCATTTTTTAATATCTCTCACTCTACCATTGCTGAGTATGGGTGGAGTCAAGGCCAGTCCCTAGTGGCAATGGGACACAGATAGACAGTTGTGTTTAGGAAACGACTGGCATGCTGGCACTGTGTGCTGGTACTAGAGAAAGGCTGACAGGCCACGAGGGTAGTTTGGGAGTGCCAAAGGCCACCTGCACAGGCCACAGCTGTGCAGCAAGCCTGCCAGCTGTGGGGAAGCAGGTGTGATGTTTTGTCTTATAACTCAGGCAGCAGGTGTTGGCCTAGGACTGCCTCTCATCCAGACTCTCATCCTTGATCTTGACGAGGAGCAAAACCACGTGACCAAGTTGGCCCTGCACTTTGCCTTCTCATTCTCTTCATGTCTTCCTTCCCAAGAAGGACCACTTGGGCCTTGGTTACATCTCTGTTAGCTTCAGTCCATTTATAAGGTAGCCCCCAAACCCACTAGAACTTGAAGCCACTGTAACTTTCTTATATTTCCTCAGTTGCTCTCTCTGTCAATAAGCTAAGAAGAGAGAAGCAGGAAAAGAGAATGAGCTTTGTTGTCATCATCATTATCATCATCATCATCATCATTAGTGTTTTCTTAGCCTGTATTTCTATACCTGACTCCATTACTTCTTATCAATATCACCTATAAAATTACTTAAGGGGGGAAGGCACTTCTAATTCAGTTTTCCTATCTGTTAAAAGGAAAAAGTAAAAATCATATAACTAGTTCACAACTGTTAAGAGAAGTCAAGGGAAGGATGCAGGCGAAGTAAGTGCCCAGTAAACATGGATTTTGCCCCTCACCTTTAGAGCATGAGAAAGGCACTTGGTGATCATGCAAACTTGACTCTGAGGTGCTGTTCTCTCTCCCAGGCTGACAGACTGGTGGAATCCTACCCTGCGGAAGCGCATGCTGAGTGACAGTGGGCTGGGAATGATCCCTCCCCACTACGAGGACTCAGACATGAAGGACCTCAGCCACTCTCGTGGCCTGCAGTGAGTCTCTTGCTCTTTTCCTTTGTGTCGCTGTGCTTGCTGGGAGGTGATGTCCACCGTGGGCTGGTTAGTAAACGCACAGGACAGATTCTCTTCTCAAGAGCACACACCCTGTCCGCTGTCAGGATGGCTGTGTGATTTTATTCACCTTGTTCCCTATAGCTGGAACTTGATCATCTTTCTCTTACTCTGGAGTTACTTGAAATGTGTCAAGGGGGATGTATTCATTTTGAATGAATGCCACGACTATTGAATTTGTGTGAACATTTTGACTTGCTGCTTCTTTTCCCTGAGTCTCTGTGTGTGCATTCTGGGTAATATTGGCCAGGGAACTTTTGTCCAACATGGGGGTGCTTCTGGGGTTTGGTTGACAGCTTCAACGGGCAAATGAGCACAACATCTGATTATACTATTTCCAAACAGGGGAGTCTTTGCAATGTAGCATGTGGGTTTTAGTTCTGAAGTAGTGTTTGTGTCATATGCCTAGTGAATTTTCCTTTATCTATTCCTTCTTGCAAGAGCAAGTTTTGGGGTATAGTCAGAGACAAATTCACTCCTTTTCACTCCTGTTGTTTGTGGTGGTGATAGTAGTGGGGTTTGACCTGGCACTTAATCACTTAAGCTACATCACCCAGTCCTTTTGGCTTTTAGTTTATTTTTTATTTATTTAGATAAAGTCTCAGGCTTTTGCCCTGGCTCATCTTAACTATGACCTTCCTACTTCTCCTTCTCAAGTAACTGGGATTAAAGGCATGTACCACCAAGCGACTCTTAATTTCAGACTAATCACTTCTTCTCAGAAGTAATGCAAGTCTGCTAAGGATCATGAAATTGGGCTGGTTCCACTCCGCCCATGATCCTAATCAAATAGTGACAATGACTTTGTAACACAAATCTTACCTTTTGACAGAATAACAAGATCATTATGGCTCTCAGAAACTCAAGGTTAACTGAAGAGGCAAGACAGTGTCTTGTTTCTAAAGGGAGGCCGGAAGCAATTTCAGTATAACAAAGGGAGAAAAAATGAGAAATCTAAAGCTAATTATTTCATTGGCAAAGGTTCTATTCAGACAGCCTGGGGGCAAAAGAAGACTTCATTTTAATTACTTCTCCCTGTTACTTCTTATTTTCTTATGTGAAGAGGAGAAAGGAGGGGAAAAAAGAAGAATTACTATGGATTTTCTTTTTTAATTAAACTGTGTTGTTAGTTCCTGATGGCATTTTGATTGCTTACAATTCAGAGTGTTTTTCCATCTTCATTTTATACAGAATTGGGATTTGGAAACAGGGTGAGTCAGCCACCCATGAGTGGCTAAATAAGTGGCCGTCTATCTGTGGGCAGACTTATTGGAAAATTAGAGTTTTAATTAGCTGCAGAACTAGAAATTAAGCCCACATGAACCAGCTCAGTGTTTTAGTACATGTGTGATTTCCAAACAAAACGGAATATGATCTCAACCTATTGTTCTATGCCCTGATTTTTTTCTATAGAAAACATACAGACTATAGGAAATGGTTGTTTCTAAGGTAGTAAGTATTCTTTCTAAGGATCTCAGATAGATGTTCCATTTTACATAACAGCCAAATTCTTAATCCCTACTTCTTAATCAACTTGTACTTTTGAGAAGAGGTTAACTGTTATTTTTAGGTAATACAGTCATCCTTCAGTTTGTATGTGGTAAATGGTATGGTATTTTCATATATACCTCCTCTAGATTACATATATATAATACTTACAATTACTTTCCACATTGCAATGTAGATGTGATATAGTTATTTAGATATTAGATATAGATATTGTTTAGAAAAGAATGACAAGATGGGGCTGGGAAGGTGGCTCAGTGGTGCAGTGCTTGCCTTGCATGCATGAGGTCCTGGGTTCGATTCCTCAGCACCACATAAGCAAAAAGAAAAAAGCCGGAAGTGGCGCTGTGGCTCAAGTGGTAGAGCACTAGCCTTGAGCTGAAGAGCTGAGGGACAGAGCCCAGACCCAGAGTTCAGGCCCCATGATCGGACCCCCCCCAAAAAAAAGAGAGAGACAAAGTAGAGCTGTGTTCAAGTGGTAAAGAGCTAGCCTTGAGAACAAAAGCTCAAAGACAGCAACCAGGCCCAGAGTTCAACCCCAAGAAATGGCAAAAAAAAAAAAAAAAAAACCAAAAGCAAAAACGAAGTATATTCTGCAGAATCACTTGAGAAGCAAAGGAACATACTAGTGTTTACCATCAGCCTTTGAGTGTCTCCAGCTGGACCTTCAAATACCACAAACAGCAGAGATACTATGTCTCAAGACAAGCTACCTCTGAATCCCTGACTGACTGAAGACAGTAACAATACAGAGAAAACAAAATAACTTGCTTAAAATCACTTGAAAAGAAAACACAAAACAAATGCTAAAAGCTGAAAACACATCCATTGATGATGATAATGATGGGGATGATGATGATTTACTTTATTTTGTATAATGATTAGGTCTCATGACTCCTAAGACAGAACATCTTTTAATTTCATTCAGAGATCATGTTTGATAGAAACAGAATCAGAGTTGTGGAACTGTCTCATTAGTAATAGTTTTGATTGATGGAATGCTTCCTACTGTAAGCTTTGCAACAAATTGAAATTTTCTTTCATTCCTTCTGCAACATTTAGATTTAACCATTGCTTTACAGATGAGTAAACTCAGGCTCACAGAGAAGGAATATTTAACTCAAGTTACTCAATGCTGAGCATGGTTTGAACTGAAGTTACTCTGATTTCTAACTTTATGCTTTCCACTGCACTAAACTATCTTCCCAAAGGAACCATGCAAAAGCCACATGTTCAGAGTGTCAAAAAAAACTTACAAAGGTTTCTGTTTCTAATTCTAATGTTTGTAAAGAAACAAGCATCCTAACAGTTATAAAGTAAACAATTCTATAATATAGAAGTTGCTGTGTTTGCACATTAATTACAAACCTAAACTTACCCTAAAGAAAATGAATTTTTGCCTTTAAAAAACAAAGGAATCAAAACAAAAAGAATGATGGTAGTCTTCTATTTCAAAAGTATTAGATTGGTCTGGAGATATTGCCATTCAAGAAAGTGGACTGAACATGAGCCCCTAAGTTCAAACTCCATTAGTGGGAAAAAATTATATACACACACATATATATGTAGTAATCTTAGTAAAAAATTCAAAATTATATAAGAATCATTTATATGTTAACAACCTAGATTTACCAAGTTGTAATTTTGCTATATTTGCATTAATAACATAGAGTAATAAAAGATTTATAATATTGTATAACTGCTTTTACATTACATTGTTTAAAATTTTTCCATGGCCTGTATGATGTTTGTATTTTGAAACTTGTCATTTTGGTCAATAGAGTTTTTAAAAAAAATTCAGTCCTATTCTGATATATGCCGATTTTTACATAATTTTATACGGTATGGTAATTTATAGTCTGACATAATTTATAGTCTGAGATAATTGAGTTTTTCATTTTGATATTGATTTCTAATATTTAAGGATTTTTAAAACACAGCAGATGTCCTGGACATTTGTATTCTTGAGTGTTGCAGAGTATAGATCCAGTTTTACTTCTACATGTTATTAAAAAGTTTACTTTCCCTGCAGGGATCAGATCATGGAAAGAGCCTGAAGATTTACTGCAACATGATTGACAACTGTTGCTTCTAGCTGTAAAGCCTCCGTCTGCTTGGAGATAGGAAAAATTCAATTTTAATATCTCTAAGCAGAAATCGAGAGAAACTTTTAAAATATTTGAACTGAAAATTCCAGTCTATCAGAAATTTAAGAACATGGCTCAAATGATGTTTATAGAGTGACTTTTAACTCTAAACTCATATTTCAATGAAGTATTGCGACATGCAAATAAAATATTTGGTTTTAAAAGAGAATCACAGAATAGAAAATAAGATGACAAAGGAGAAAGATAATAGAGAAATCAATGGAATGAAACAAAAGAAATAATTAAGAATTCAATTTTAAAATGTTGATTCTTTGAAAAGGTAAATAAGAGGTATGAAATGCTGAGCTTTACTGCTGAAAATGAATGGAAGTCGGGTGCTAGTGGCCCTCTCCTATAATCCTAGCTACTCAGGAAGCTGTGATCTGAGGATTGTGGTTTGAAGGTAGCCCAGGCAGGAAAGTCTGTGAGACTCTTATCTCCAATTAACTGACAAAAGAGCCAAAAGTGGAGCTATAGCTCAAATGGTAGAGTGCTAGCCTTGAGCAAAAAGCTTAGGAACAATGCCCTGAGTTCAAGCTCCAGGCCAGGCACACAAAAAAGGAAGAAAGATCTGGCCACTGGGGGCTCATGCCTGTAATCCTAGCTATGCAGGAGGCTGAGATCTGAGGATCATGGTTCAAAGCCATTCTGGGCAAGAAAGTCCATGAGATTTATATCCAATAATCTACTCGGAAAAAAAGCTGGAAGTGGCACTGTGGCTCAAGTGGTAGAGTGCTAGCTTTGAGCACAAAGAGGCCCAGGGACAGTACTCAGGCCCTGAGTTCAAGCGCCAGGACAAGAAAGAAAGAAAGAAAGAAAGAAAGAAAGAAAGAAAGAAAGAAAGAAAGAAAGAAAGAAAGAAAGAAAGAAAGAAAGAAAGAAAGAAAGAAAAGGAAGGAAGGAAGGAAGGAAGGAAGGAAGGAAGGAAGAAAGAAAGGGAAGGAAGGAAGGAAGGAAGGAAGGAAAAGAAAGAAAGAGACAGCCATTCTCTAGCCTCAGTTTCTTCTTCCTCCATGGCATCCGTGCTCCTAAACATATCAACCCTCCTTATTCAAGGAGAACGAACAGGAATGAAGAAACAGGATCCAATCATTATGGTAACTGATTGCATTTGTATTATTTCCATTTAGAGGCTATGATTTCAGAGAAGGATGCCCAACATACAGTGTCTTCCAGATCCATAATCATTGCAAAGGACAATTTTGGGAACTGATTTCAAAATCAGTTGATGAGAGGTATTTAACTCAGGTTTTAATGCTTGTACCACAA